TCAACCCTCAACTTTCTACCTACCTACATTTTGCACCCTTATTTTGAAAAATGAAGCTTTCTTATCCTTTACTTTTTAAAATATCATTTTTACGTTTTTAACTTTTAAGTTTTTAAAATGTCATTTTCACCCCTTTTATTTTCCACCCTCTACCATTCTACAATGTCACTTTCACCCCCTCATTTTTTTTAAACTTTGGTGTTTAACTACATCCTAGAATTCTAGCTAATCATTGTACGTTGGTACCTACCGGAACTGCAATTGAATTCTTGAGTGTATGAATGTACATAACTTTTTGTACATAATATGGTGCTTGTAGTATCGGAAGACACGTATACTCAAACGAAATGAAAATAGAAACAACATTTTCTTCTACTTTTAACATTTTTGAATGTACGAATGTACATAACTTTTCCTACATAATATGGTGTCTGTAGTATCGGAAGGCATATACGCAAATGAAATGAAAATAGAAACAACATTTTCATCTACTTTCGAAAAATAACAACAAACTTTCTACTACCTCTTAAATCCATTTTTGTTGCCACAACGTGCGCGGGTAAAATACTAATCTATTCCAAATAGTAATGTTAGTGGCCTATTCTTTCGATTTTTCACCCTTTCAACTTTTCCTAATTTTCATTTTCGATCCTTTGGTTATAAAACTTATACAAGTCGATGTTCTTTGTGGAAAAAAGGTCCTCTTTTCAATTTTAGTGGACCGTTTTCTCCTTTTCTACCTAAATATTCATTTGGTATTTCTCTAGTTCTCTTCCTTTCATATTCTTCCATACCTACGCATCTTTGCTCCAAAGTGTCGGTTCTCTTGTAACATCTTGTTTCGAGAAGTACTTATTTCAGGATTGTGGACAATAAATTGATCAAATGGAGGCCTTGGGCTTCAACAGAATGAAGTTTAGGCTCTATTGGAGGTGTATGATGTTGGACAAATGATTTAAACCTTGGATTGTTCGATGGAAGCTGGGGGGGTAAAATGGGAAAGGTTATGTTTTGGGCTTTTTGCGTAAAGAGTAGGCAGGGTGGCCTATCGACTAGATCTGTCTGAAGAGCTCAATCGGATTCACAACACCTTCCATGTCTCTCAACTTCAGAAGTGTATCGTTGATGATTCAGCAGTGGTTCCTTTGGATGATATTCAGTTTGATGATTGCCTGAATTATGTTGAGAGGCCGGTGACGATTTTGGATAGAAGACGAAGGCCTTGTGCAACAAGGTGGTATAATTAGTCAAGGTCCAGTAGCAGCATCGGAAGGGTGTCGAATGGACTTGGGAGCTTGAGGCAGAGATGTGAGAGCACTACCCTAAGTTATTTGTAGTTAAGGAATTCGATGATGAAGTATGATTAAAGTGAGAAAGAATTGTAACATCCGTTCCAGGTATGAATGAATTTTTATATATTAACTTTAATTTGGGTGGCCACGGCATGGTGGTGCATCACCACGACGTGGTGCGATGTCTTCGACTGCATGATTAAATGACCCATCATGGCGTGGTTGCCAAGGCGTGGTAGGTGGTTTTAGTGAAAAACCCTAATTTTTGGGATTTAGACCCTATATAAAGAACATTAAGGCTATGGTTTCGTGATCATTCATCCTCCATCACCCTCTCGAACCTAGAAACCTTAACCCTAGCCTCCATTGCAATTGCAAACTCATTCTTAAAGCATTTTGGTGATCTTTGAAGAAGAAGGAAACCCTTGGTGTGATAGTTTACTTGGCAAGCATCATCTACTTCAGCTAGCACATCCCCTGGACCTTGGTGAGTGTCCAAGATCCAACCTTTTCCTTGCTAAGTTGTTAGATCTCTTGATTTTGTCCCTTTTCTTCATGTCTTGATGGATTTAAGTGGTGAGATCTCATAAAGCTTGCAACTTTATGCATCTCCAGGTCACTTAGAGCATTTGGTGCCTTGGATCTGATTTAAAGTGAGCTTTGGTGTCATGCATGGAATCTTGGTCATAAACCCATAGTTTTGACCTAATAAGAGTTCAAGACAGGCACTGGAGATACATGTCTGAAAGCATGATTTTTATGATACTTTTGGTACTAGAAACCCTTTTGGAATCGTGTGTCATGAGATCTTCAAGATTAAGTGCTTAATGATTAAGCCATTATGTGTTTTCATCCCCTTTTTGGACCTAGGTCGCCACGGTGTGGCGACTGGGCTAAAGTCATCTGCTTTTTCACTTTGCTGTCACGACGTAGCCAGGGATGGCCACGGCGTGGCGACCAGTTGGAGTTGATTTGACTTTGACTATTGACCGTTGACTTTGACCAATTTTGACTTTAGGTCATTTGGGATATTTTGAATAGTAGATTGAGGCTTGGTCCCAGTGTGTTGTATAGGTGACCCATAGAGCCGTTAGTTGGAGCAGTATTCAGTTTAGCTATCTTCCTTACATTGAGGTGAGTTTTCCTCACTGTACATGTAGGTCGAAGGCATCAATGTCGGCCCATTGGATTATGTATCCCGGTATAATGGATTGATGGTATGCTGGTGATATGTTAGATTGGTAGATTTGTATGATTACATGTGTTCACTGAGTATGTGTTAAACTGGTAGATCTGTAGATCTGTATGATTACATGTACTTGTTGCTTATCAATTGGTATTGTATATGTCGACATGTTATGGTTGGTTGGGTTCACCTCATGCTTTGTGCTGAAGGCCAAGATACCCAGGGCGATCTGGATAGACTGAAGGCCGAGAGGCAGTCTAGTCAGGCCGAAGGCCCGGAGAGCGATCCAGATAGGATGTAGGCCATGTGAGGCGGTCCAGTCAGGCTAAAGGCTCATATATGTATGTTGTTACCTGTATGGTTGTATGTAGTACTTCGGGAGAACTCACTAAGCATTGACTTACAATTTGATTGTTATGGTTTCAGGTACTTCAGAGGACAGAAGTAAGACGAAGGCTTGATCATGCACATCCTTCGGATTTTATGTGATTTGATTTTGGGATACTCTAATTTATGATTTGAAATTTAGGAACTATGTTTTGTAAACAATTATGGCTTTTGGTTTGGTTTTGAAATTGAAAATTTTTACCTTGATTTATGGGATGTCACATAACTACATCATGGAATTGCAAACAACAAGTGTAGTACCTCCGGTAACTAAGCTTTTGTATGTATTCAACATATAATTAACAAATGTACATAGCTACCTTACATTTTACTACTTCTCACATACATTATTGACGCCGCAACGCGCTGCGGGTGTTGCAGCAGCGGGTAAAATTCTAATTTTTTCTATGTTCGAACTATTTTCTAATTATTGATTACAGCGAATGTTTGAAAGTCATTTTAGGAAAAAAAAAAAAAAAACAGCGATGAAGTTATACTAATCAATCATGGCTTTGACACTAGCAAAATATCCAATAAGGTTGCAACCTAAATGAACGAACTTTAGCCAATTTGGACTTATTTAACTTCGAGAAACACTATATGTTAAATATGAGTATATGACATTTATATGTCAAAAGAGAAAACACCTCCGAGTCGTAGGATATCATGAGCTCATCCATTAGACAAACAATTAGACAATTACAGATCATGTAACTTGTGATTCAAGGACGATTTTGTACAAATGAGACACAATCAAGATTAATGAAAAGTTTATTAAGTTAAATAAACGGAAGGACAATAGTCGAGAAGTATAGGCATTCTTTTCCAAAGAAATTAAGATTCATGTAGCGGTTGGCCCGATATGTTGAAAGTGGAAACAATGGTAACCCTGTTTTTGATGGGTATAAGTGTTAGTTAATTTTAATAAGTATATTAAAACATGAAAGCATAAAATTTGGATCTTAACATTTCGAATTTGGTTAAAAGAAACTTAAATAAGAATAAAGATTACATATTTGCTTCCATTGAGATTGTTGGCCTTGTCAAGCGATTGTTAGATCTGATAAGCAAAGTTGGGTTTCTATTTGATCTTAAAAACTTTCTCTAAATCCATAGTAAAAATACTCACGAATTTTTTGTGTGAATTTTATATGTTTGATATGTTTCTCATCACATGTTTATATAGATGGAGATATAACTTAATATGAGAGATATTTGACATTTCAAGGAGTTTGAGTGCACAGAGAATTCAACACACAAGATAAACACCAAAATTGTGTTCCGTGTCGAACTCGTCCAATATTTACCACTTTTAAGCATCATTAACCCCATGAAATTCGCATTTCAATACTAGACTAGAGGTAAGGTGAAAAAAAGAACCAGATCCAATGGACTTTTTGGACTTGATCGGGCAATCAAGTTATTAAAAAAAAAAAAAGACCTGTCACATTTATAATCGTGTAGAATTCATAATTGTTTGTAACTACGCTTTATTCGAACTTTCTATCATCTCTGGACTAGGGATGAACTTTTTAACTGAAAAACCGAACAAAAAACGATTAGTGGTATTCGGTCCAATTCCCCCAATCCATCATTTTCGATTTTCGATTCTTTTGGTTCCGCTCCGGTTCGGGCCAGTTCCGATTCCAAACACCTTTTTAGATAGCGCATTTTCTAGTAGAACCAAAACCAGTTTACATCCCTAGACCACTCACCTTGTTTTTTTTTCTCTTTTTTCTTCTGATATTATTCATTGTCATTATTATTAAGAATAGGACTTCTATAAAAATACAGGACAAGACCAACCACACAAGTAATCTCTACAAAAAGAGATGAAAATAGTTGAAGGGTTATTTCTCTCTTTTTTTTTCTATCCTTTGTTTAGTCTAATATAGATTATCATGATAATTGAAACTTTGAACATACAAACAGTAAGATCCCATTCAGATCATCAGATAAACTACTTAATAATATGTGCAGAGTATTCACCTCAAGGCATGTGGATGAAAGCAACAAGCCTACAATCACAGCCTTATATACATAAGGGAATACCTTGTGACTCGTCCATTGATGGACCATTGTGTTGTTAGTTTCAATGAGAAATAGAAGGCATACTTGCAAGATGTATACAAAATCATCAAACCATTACAAAACAGAATAGATATATCAAGCATTACCTCCAACCATTCTTGTATGCATTCAAAACAAAACCTATTAATTCGGATTACGGATTTACAATTACAATAATACATACATTCTAGCATGCATCACGACTTCACAAACATCAAAAAAAACATCAGACTCCATCTCAAGAATTAACCATCTGACCAATCACCAAGCTCCAGCGAATCAGTGTGAGAGTGCAAAGCTGGCGGAGGATCGAACATGAGGAAACTTCACATTTGATGGGAAAACAAAACCTTTTGCTTCTAAACGAGACACAACCTACCAACACAACAATACAAGTGAGAAGACAACAAAAATGAGAAAACATGCAATGCATCAATTATGAATAGGGAAAACAAATATATAGTTGTGACATCTCTAAGTAAAAATCTTTGAATTCAGCACAAGTATACACGAAACGAGTTTACCAAAAGATAATCAATAGACTACTACTTACTAGTTACTACAACTAATAATCATATGATTCTTACAAAGATATACAAACAGTCAAAGGAAAACAAATTTACCTTAGAACATAAAAACCCAATTTTAAGCTCTTTCACATGGGAAAGGTTTAGTATATGTTCTTTAAGCTTCTCTTCTTCCACTTCAAGTATTGTCTCATGATACACAAACATTGTATAGTCTAAGTTAGCTTTAACTAAAGAAGATACATTTACCAGCAAAATCTTCCACTGCCACAGGTTACCTTCAATTTTTAGTGATAAAATATTAGGAGCATTAATTTCAATAATATGGGTTAAATCATCATCCTCATAATTAGGAGGATCCAAATAGTATCCATGGACCACCAAGTTCTTAATGCTCGTTGAAGTAATATGCAGCTGCTTGTAACCATAGCAATAAGCCAATACCAAAGTTTCCAATACAGGACTCCCTGCTATTATATTTTCAATCAGATCTTCATTTAAATGCCCTTCACAAATCCACAAACTCCTAAGATTTTTCCAACTAATAGCCCCACATGGATTCAACATGCAGCCTTCTAATGTGAGATCTGTAAAACATGAATTGTTGAAGAAACATTGATCTAACAGAAACTTATCTCTCTCGTCCACATTACGTATCATTAAATTAAGCTCTTCAACGTTACATCTTATAGCATAATGAATCCAATTGTTGAGTTGCGATCCAGATTGTATATCATAAAAGATAGACACTTCGAATTTCTTGAGTTTCAATTGGCGACATTGAGTTAGGGTTTTGTTGACGAACGAAAAGAACTCCCACGGCGGAAGATTATGATCACTGAAAATCAGAGAAGGAACCCAAGTCCAGAGATGTTTCCATCGCTTCGAGAGCGTACCTGTTCCAATAGCGTCTTTTGTATAGGGTAAACGAGAGAGGATTTCAAGAAGCAAGCAATCTTGCAACGAACTGAGTCGATCTTCTCCCCTCTCCTCCACGATTTCTTCGAGCTTCATACGTTTTTTTGGAAATTGTAGGTTGATTTTGTACTTCTTCCACGATTTCCATGGCGGCGAGGTCTCGCTGCTTTCCCACATGAAAATTTGCAGCAAAACTCAAATTAGGGTGTGTTTGGGATTACAAAAGTCGTTTTATAAAAAGAATTTTGTTACAACTGGTGGGTATGGTAAGGCCTTCGGACGTGTTTAGGCGTTATAACGCACAAACACCACCTCTTCACCGTTTTTGATAGTGATGCAAATTCGACCCGCGGATTCGGGTATCCGTGGGTATCCGACCCTAACGGAACGGGTATTATCTGTCTTAACGGGTAACGGGGCGAGGACGGGGTTAAAATTTCATATCCGATGTGGGGGCGGGGCGGGTATGGGTATGGTACTATCCGCCCGTTTAAGACCCGAATATATATATATATATATATATATATATATATATATATATATATATATATATATATATATATATATATATATATAGAGGTAAGTTTAATTGAGAAAATAAAAAAGGTTGAGAATGGGGGAATCATTCTCAGCCACTCATTTAATCTAAGCATAAAAGACACGGTGGCAAACTTGTAAATATGATAATAACCTTCAATCTCAAATACGTAACATCGATTTCTTTATTGAATACTCCGAATTTGAATTTCCCAGATTCACAAACGAACTCAGTTGGAATCGGAATTTCTTTGTTGTTCATGAAATTGGAATTGGAGTTCATGACTCGCAGTCACAATCAACATTGAAGGACTCGGAATCGGTACTCACAGGTTCCTAATCGGATTTTCGAAAATCAAAATCAAAATGTGAAATCGATCAGACATAGGATGTCGCATCTGAAGTCGGAAGCTTTTGAAATTGGAACATATATTCTAATCGGAACAGTTCGCGGCTTGATTATCAGTATTACAAAGAAATCTGAAATCGTGATTTCAAGGTTTCAAAATTGAAATCGGAATTTTTTTTTGGAATGAAATGAAAATCGGAATTGCACGCTTCAAAGTCGAAATCGAAAGTATATGATGATTTGGAATTGATAACTTGAATTGGAAGTATCATGTTTTTAACATTTTTAAAAAAGTTAACTTGTATGCACTCCAACTGTTTGATGAAATGCATAAACTAAATTATCACGTTATATTCACATATGAATATGTTTTCTGACCTGAATCAGTATATGATTATTAAAACAAAAAACAAATATGCAAGTCTGTATGTTATTCATATGTGAATAACGTATAAAAATTATATATATTTGTGAAAACACCTTGTAATATTCATATGTGAATATACTGTGTAATATTCATAAGTGAATATATCATCTTATATTCACAAGTGAATATACTATGTAAAATTCACATGTGATATACCATGTAATACTATGTAATATTCACATATGAAAATATCATATAATATTCATAAGTGAATATACCATCTAATATTCACAAGTGAATATACTATGTAATATTCACAATTGAATGCATCGTCTAATATTTAAATATGAATATACTATGTATATTATATACTATATTCATATATGAATGATACTTAAATTATAAAAAAATTAATCATACTTTTTATTCATAAGTGATAATGTATTTTTTTCGGAAAAAAAACATTGTTTTGAGGTCCTAAGCAAGTTTGTAATTCATATGTGAATAACATATAAGAATTATATCCGCATGTGAACATATGTAATATTCACAAATGAATATATATGTAATAATTAAATGTGAATATATATGTATTATTCACAAATGAATAAAACTGTCAATAAAACCGAGAACTACAAAATATATAAAATTAAAGATAAAAAAAGTATTTGATAAGAATATATATTTATTCACATACAACTAATCTTTTTAGGTTAATAAAATAATTATATAAGCATATATATTTTTATTAATGTTATATTCATTTGTGAATAAATGATAACTTTTTTTTCGGAAAATTATAAAAATAGAAAAACGTCATTTTGAGGCCCTAAACAGTCCCGAATGGCCGAAAAACACCGTACATCACGGCGAAGCTGTGAGTTTTGTAAATCGCACCATTTTACATCAAATATGCGAATTTCGTCCAATTCCGAGACTAAACTTCATTGCGGCAAATTGTTTTGATGATGTCACTAAATTTTCATTCCTACTAGTGATGACATCATCATGACATGCTATTTATTCATATATGAATAAAGTTTAGAAATCATTACGACATATTTACTGATGATGTTACTAACTTCAATCCCACTAGTAAAAACATCATTGTAATCTGTTATTTTTATTTATGTGAATAAACTATGCATGTTGATTTATTTATTTTGTGAATACAACCTTTATATATAAAAATAAATAATACACTATAATAATTGGTTTGTGAATAGTTTTTTTGTATATTGTAACAATATTATTTTACATGTAAAATCAACATTATACTAAGACAAACAACATTGTATTGGTTAATGAATATCATTTGCATTTGAATTTAACATGATCAAAATGAAGAATATATTAAATTGTATAACATTTACACGTGAATATAAAAACATATTGTCTTCGTCAATGATATCTTCTCAATTACGTCAACTAATCGTCAACCACCGGGATATGAACCAACCATTGATTGAAATGTTATTCTTTTATTGAGTTATAACGATACCTGAAAAACATGTGAATACACATAAAAAATGTTAAAAATATACTTTTAGTTCATAATAATAGCGATTTATCACATTCTAATTATCACATGGTATATTCACATATGAATGTATAATCATATGTGAATATTATATGATATATGTTGTTTATATTGTATATTTACATGTGATATTACATGGTATATTCACAAATGAATATTACATAGTATATTCACATATGAATATTCTATGGTAGATTCACATGTGAATAGTATATGGTATATTTACTTGTGAATATTACACATTCTAGTCACATCCAAATATTGCATGGTATATTCATTCATGAATATTACACAATATATTCACATATGAATAATATATAGTATATACACTTGTGAATATGATACAATATATTCATATTTAAATATTAAACGATGCATTCACTTGTGAAGATTACATAGTATTTTCACTTGTAAGTATTAGATGATATATTCACTTATGAATATTAGATGGTATATTCATATGTGAATATTACACAGTTTATTCACATATGAATATTACACAGGATATTAACATATGAATATTACAAGGTATATTCACAAATATATATAATTTTTATATGTTATTCACATATGAATAACATATAAAATTGTATATTTGTTTTCTATTTTAATAATCATATACTGATTAAGGTGCGAAAACATATTCATATGTGAATATAACGTGATAATTTAGTTTATGCATTTCATCAAACAGTTGGAGTGCATACAAGTAAGCTTTTTTAAAAATGCTAAAAACATGATACTTTGACTATTTAAAACTTACAAAATAGTAGATTGATAGAGACTTATATGAAATTTTTCAAAAAAAAATGATTTGATGTTTTTCTAACCTTAATTTCGAAGTTTTGTTTGATGATCGATGTTGAATGAATGATATGAAGTGAAATTGTTGTTGATTATCGATGATGTTGATCTAATAACACTGGGAGTATAATTAATCGTAGATGTTGAAGATATGCTCGAATTCAAGCATAATTGAAGGTTGGATTGAAAGAAGCAAAAACAATTTTTTTTTGTCTACTGTTGAATGATGTTGATGAACGTGTTTTTGACGAAGATGGATGATTGATTAACACTGGATGATGTTGATCGATGATTTAATTGAAGAAATTTGGATGATCGTTGAAGCTTGGAGAAGAAATTTGGATGATGAACGATCGAGTAGTAATGAATTTGAATTGTTATCAAATTATCCACAATTATGTATCTGTGATTGAAGGATATCATATCATATTTACAATTTTGCCACCGTGTATTTTATGTTAAGATGCTAGTTAAATGATTGGCTGAGAATGAATCCCCCATTCTCAACCTTTTTTTTTTCTCAATTGAACCCTCCTATATATAGACTCGAAAATATTAAAGCACATTAATTTCTATATGATTAAACCTGGTCTTTGAAAATTGTGGACACGTTTTTACTTTTTCAAAGTTCCTTCACCACTCACCGTCTTTTAGACTCTTCGATTATTCTTCGTTCTTCGCAACTCACACTCCAAAATATGTATAGTTGTGTATGTATGCATAATTGAAGTATTGAGAATTGGAACGATGTTTAAAGTATTAAAATCATTGCACATTTTCATGCAAGTAATTACCGCCCATTAATTATTTTATATAATAAATTCTAAACGAAGTAGTTGATTGATTATACGATTTCGATTAAAAGTGCAATTAATTTGATAAAATATATAAGAAAATTTGTTTTTAAAATATGTTGATAAATTAACATACCTTTAGGAACATAAATAGTTGTACTTGTAGAAATAAACATAATATACTTCATGGGTATCATCGGGTTCCCCGTACCCAATGGATATTTTTTCAACCGAACCCGTCAGGGATTAGGTGGGGCGAAGGCGGGGACGGGTGTGGAGATTGGATTTCGGGTACGGGGACGGGTATTGCAGTATCCGTCAATATCCGCCCCCGTTTGCATCTCTAGTTTTTGAGCGTTATACGCCTGTCGTTGTTTCCCGTTGCCACCTTCCCCTTCGCTTTTTCTAAAAAGATGTTTTTTTAAAATGTGTTTGGCTTGACTTTTAAGGTTTTTAAATGATAAAAATCAAAAGTCACAAAAAGATAGGAATTCTTGTTTTTTGTCCGGCCAACTTTTAATTCTTAACTAAAAGTTGATTTTAAATTTTTTTTTCAATTTACCAAACAACTTTTGGTAATTTTTAACTTTTTGAAAAAGTTAAAAGTCAAAAAGTTGATCAAAAAGGAATCCCAAACACCCTCTTAGGTGTAAATGTAAAAAAACAGTGAAATGAAGTTTTGTTTTCGCCCCTATTCTTTGAAAAGTTACAATTAAGTCCCTATAAAAAAATAGCATATTTTCTACATTTGAAACATTTCTTAATTATCAATTATTAACCGAATGTTTAGAAAGTAGGGTGGAGGGAGTACATCTTGCATCCCTCACCGGTCCCAACCCACAT